TGTATAAGTGAGTGAGTGTGTAAGTGGGTGAGTGTGTAAGTGGGTGAGTGTGTAAGTGAGTGTGTAAGCGGGTGAGTGTGTAAGTGGGTGAGTGAGTGTGTGAGTGAGTGTGTAAGTGAGTGTGTAAGTGAGTGAGTGTGTAAGTGACTGAGTGTGTAAGTGAGTGTGTAAGTGAGTGAGTGTGTAAGTGAGTGAGTGTGTAAGTGAGTGTGCAAGTGAGTGTGTAAGTGAGTGTGTAAGTGAGTGTGTGAGTGAGTGTGTAAGTGATTGAGTGTGTAAGTGAGTGAGTGTGTGAGTGAGTGTGTAAGTGGGTGAGTGTGTAAGTGAGTGAGTGTGTAAGCGGGTGAGTGTTTAAGTGAGTGTGTACGTGAGTGTGTAAGTGAGTGAGTGTGTAAGTGAGTGAGTCTGTAAGCGAGTGAGTGTGTGAGTGAGTGTGTGAGTGAGTGTGTGAGTGAGTGTGTAAGTGTGTAAGTGAGTGTGTAAGTGAGTGAGTGTATAAGTGAGTGCGTCTGTAAGTGAGTGAGTGTGTGAGTGAGTGTGTAAGTGAGTGAGTCTGTAAGTGAGTGAGTGTGTAAGTGAGTGTGTAAGTGAGTGTGTAAGTGAGTGAGTGTGTAAGTGTGTGAGTCTGTAAGTGAGTGTGTCAGTGTGTAAGTGAGTGTGTAAGTGAGTGAGTGTGTAAGTAAGTGCGTCTGTAAGTGAGTGAGTGTGTGAGTGAGTGTGTAAGTGAGTGAGTCTGTAAGTGAGTGAGTGTGTAAGTGAGTGTGTAAGTGAGTGTGTAAGTGAGTGAGTGTGTAAGTGTGTGAGTCTGTAAGTGAGTGAGTGTGTCAGTGTGTAAGTGAGTGTGTAAGTGAGTGAGTGTGTAAGTAAGTGAGTGTGTGAGTGAGTGTGTAAGTGAGTGAGTGTGTAAGTGAGTGTGTAAGTGAGTGAGTGTGTAAGTGTGTGAGTGTGTAAATGGGTGAGTGTGTCAGTGAGTGTGTAAATGGGTGAGTGTGTAAGTGAGTGAGTGTGTGAGTGTGTAAGTGAGTGAGTGTGTAAGTGAGTGAGTGTGTGAGTGAGTGTGTAAGTGAGTGAGTGTGTAAGTGTGTAAGTGAGTGTGTAAATGGGTGAGTGTGTAAGTGAGTGTGTAAGTGAGTGAGTGTGTAAGTGAGTGAGTGTGTAAGTGAGTGAGTGTGTAAGTGTGTGAGTGTGTAAATGGGTAAGTGTGTAAGTGAGTGTGTAAATGGGTGAGTGTGTAAGTGAGTGTGTGAGTGAGTGTGTAAGTGAGTGAGTGTGTAAGTGAGTGTGTAAATGGGTGAGTGTGTAAGTGAGTGTGTAAGTGAGTGAGTGTGTGAGTGAGTGTGTAAGTGAGTGAGTGTGTAAGTGTGTAAGTGAGTGTGTAAATGGGTGCGTGCCTCGCTTGGTGCGGCTCCGCGTGTTTTGCTCGCGGCTCCCCGGCAACCGCCGCGGTTGCTCCGTAAACACCGCGAGGCGCGCAACAGCCGCCCTGGCAACAGCAGCAGCAGCAGCAACGGCGGAGGCAGCCAACACAACAGAGACAGCAGAGACAGCAGCAATAGCAGCAACAGAGACAGCAGCATCAGAGACACAGCAGAGACAGCAGCCACAGAGACACAGCAGAGACAACAGCCACAGAGACACAGCAGAGACAACAGCCACAGAGACACAGCAGAGACAGCAGCCACAGAGACACAGCAGAGACAACAGCCACAGAGACACAGCAGAGACAACAGCCACAGAGACACAGCAGAGACAGCAGCCACAGAGACACAGCAGAGACAACAGCCACAGAGACACAGCAGAGACAACAGCCACACAGACACAGCAGAGACAACAGCCACAGAGACAACAGCCACAGAGACACAGCAGAGACAACAGCAACAGAGACACAGCAGAGACAGCAGCCACAGAGACACAGCAGAGACACAGCAGAGACACAGCAGCAGCAGCAATAGCAGCAACAGAGACACAGCAGAGACACAGCAGAGACACAGCAGAGACAACAGCCACAGAGACGCAGCAGAGACACAGCAGAGACACAGCAGAGACAACAGCCACAGAGACGCAGCAGAGACACAGCAGAGACGCAGCAGAGACACAGCAGCCACAGAGACAAAGCAGAGACAACAGCAGCCACAGAGACAAAGCAGAGACACAGCAGCCACAGAGACACAACATCGACGTCAGTTAATGTACAGTAATTCATCAATGAATAGATGCATCAATGGATACGTAGCAAGAACAGCAACATGAATGGCCAAGGACTGCATGAGCAGCGTTAACAAATAGCGTCAGCATCTATGAATAGACGCACATTAAAGTCGGCATTATAAACAGCATCAATTAAAAGGAAGAGCAACCCGATAGCATCGGGTGATCAAGGGGCAGCGGGCATCGATTACTCGGGACAGCATCAAGTAATAGGGGACAGCTTTGCTATGAATACAGACAGCACGCGTAAGGGCACCAATTACCGTATTTTCCCGCATACGCATATACCCCGCAAAAAATTGCGTTTTGTGTAAAACAAATTTCAGATAGCCCGCACCTCCATATACCCCGCAGGGTCTTGTTTGTAAAAAGTGGTATACCCCGCGGGTTATATGCAGGTGGATGGCGGCATCTGGCTTGGGCTGGACGCGTCGCGCCTCGAACGGGACCGATGGTCAAGAGCAATAACGGAACGGCAGCCAAGGCATGGAACGCGTTCCTAGAGGGTCGTCCACCGGGTAGATGGAGCGATGGAATCAGTTTCGTGTGGATTGCTACATTGCAGGATCGTCAGAGATCGGAACCAGAAAATCAATTATTTGTACTGGAGGAATCCGATGAGCTATAAAGCTCTTTTGATTTAAAGCTTTCGTGACTGCAGGGATTCATATTCTTGGTTCTCTCGGTAAAGTAAACAAATATAAAACAATAAAATTATCAATTGTATTGTTTTATATTTATATTATTTTATTGTTTCCCTTCTACGTGACTTTACCGAAAGAACCAAGAATATAAAGCTCTTGTTCACACACATGTCGAGTATAGGGGCGTGTCAGAACGCTACAACAGCATACAATACAGAACCACGACAGCAGTTGAAAGTATAGGAAATGTAAGCAAATCAGCAGCGGAGAGATGACCGTTGCTGCTGCTGCTGATGATGAATAATTGAATAGGAACCACATTCAATAGGCACCGTTCACAGCATCAGTGACCAAGGAACGCAGCAACAACAAATTACACAGCATCTGCAGCACCATCAGTGAATAGGCACGACATCGTAAACAGGGTTGAATAGGGGCAAAATCGGCGATGTAGTCGATTAATCGGACGAATACAAAGTAACGTCGTCAATGAATGGGGGCAACATCCAATGGCACATCGGTAGTGAATTAGCAGGGGGCGGTGTGAACGAATGAATAAATACCACGAGCAAAATCGTCAGTGGCAAGAGGCGACAGCATCGGTGAATAACGCGGCATCGTTTCAATAAGGGGGAGGACGTCCATCGTCGGTTACGGCACGAGCGAATCGAGAAAGTTACGTTTCGATAGTATCAACGAATGGCAATTCGGCCCGGTCGCAATTCGTATCGTTCGGGGAAGGGGGCCGTTTGGTTTTTATTTTCTCGGCGGCGTCCCGGGGGATTCTCATCGCCACCGAGGGTTGCTCGAAGGCGAACAGCGCCCCCTCGTGCGCGCCTCTTGTTACGGCAATTTTCTGAACGTAGTTCTACAAGGCCCACTTCTGCGACGGCGTTCCCGAACACGTGGGGGGTGGGGGGTGGGGGATGTTCAGCCTCCCTGCTGCTCTGCTGCTAAGAATTCCGAAGCGATTCTCTGGGCAACGCAACCCATTGGACGTGCCAAGATGATCTCGCTGCACCGACCCACCCACCCACCTTTCTCTGTTTAACCCCTCGTGGTGTGTCGCTGGGCTGGTGCGCTTAGTGACGTAATGGCCATCAGCAGCCGCGTAAGGGGCTGTCTGTAAATGACGTCACGCACCTGGGGGGTGGGGTCAGACGTTTGTGACGATGTGTGATGACGACGGGGGAGGTAAGAAATGTGACGTCACATCAAAATGCGCAACTTTTAATAAATCTAGACAACACATTCTACTTAATTAAATAAACTTTTTAATAAATGTTTTCTCCTACAACATCAGAGTGCAGCGCCACATTAAATACGCACTACAATGACAATAGTTTAAAGAGATTTGAAGGATGTTTTATTATTTTTTTGGGGGGAGGGGGCAGAGCTTCGTGATGTCATATTTGAGGGGGGGGGTCTGACTTTTCGTGACGTCGTGTGACGAAGGGGGGGGGGGGTCAAAAATCGTCCAAAATCGCGTGACGTCATTTATGGACGGCCTCTAACCCTTGGCCATGGCTTGTCGAGAGACAAAATATAGGGGGAGGGAGGGGGTGAGCGATTGATTAAAAATGTATTTCGTATTCTTTGGGTCATTCGGTAAAGTCACGTAGATACGTTCAAATTCATAAGAATTAAACAAACCAAAAACCGCTTTTTATTCATTTGAACCTATCTCCGTGACTTTACCCGAAAGACTCGAAGAATGTGAATTCCTGCAGTCACGAAAGCATTAAGTCAAGATTGAATGAACCCCCCCCCCCTTAGGTCGACTCAGCCTTAAATTTAGTCCCTCGTGCAGTGTTGACCATCACCTCGTGTGTGGTGTTAGCGTTCACAGGCAGGTGCGACAGTACTCACACCTGCCCTCACAGTCTGGTTAGGCTATATGGGGGCACTCTTTGTCGCTGTGTTACAAGATCCAAAGCCAGACAATCGTGGTGGTGCTGAGACCACCCTTTGTCGACTCAGCCTTAAATGTAGTCCCTGGTGCAATGTGCATAAAAATAACATCGGGGGAGACAAAGGCGGTCGGGACGTCGTGCTGGCCGCCCACGCAGGTGCTCGCTCAGAGCGCTTGCTCCGACAGTCTGTTAAAGGCAATGTGGGGGGATCTTTATCTTTGTTGTGCCACGCTAGGTACACGAAGGGCGTGGACATGTGGAACCTGGGATGCATCCTCGGGGAGATGCTCACGGGGAAGCCGCTTTTCCCCGGCGAGTCCACCATCAACCAGCTCGAGAGGATCATGGCCGTGGTGCCGCCACCTTCACGGGACGGTACGTGGCGGGGGAGGGGGGTGTGGGACATGGGGAAGAGGCACCGGGAGGCAAGCGCAGGGACACACAGGGGGACACGGAGAGAGACGGAGAGGCAACGGGGGGACACACGGGGAGAGATGGAGAGACAAAGGTAGGGGGGACACAGGGAGACACGGAGAGAGACGGAGAGACAAAGGGGGGGGCACAGGGACAGATGGGGAGACAAGGGGACAGACACGATGGAGACACACATGGAGAGACGGGGAGACACACATGGAGAGACGGGGAGACAATGGGGGACACACAGGGAGGCACATGAAGAGGTGGAGAGACACAGGGAGAGACGCGGGGGGATGGCAAGATATGGTGAGACACAGTGATATGGGGAGACATGGGGAAACGGAGATGTTGCGACACGGTGTTACTCAATGATGTGAGTTGTACTTTGCTGTGTTCCACAGAACTCATGGCGATCAGCTCGGACTATGGGCGTTCAATGGTAGAAAGACTCATGGCTCAGTGAGTATGCATACACACCTACATAGGCACACACACACACAAAGATCCCCTGTATAGCCTTTAACAAACCGTTGGGGCAAGTGCTGTTAGCAGGCACCTCTGAAGGCACGAGAGACACAACCACCTTTGTCTCCCCAAAGGCACTCATTTAAGGCTTAGTCGCCCTAGGGGAGACGCAGAACCGGTTCGGACAATTATCGTCACCGGTGTTGAATATCTGTGAACGGATGAGCGTCCGGGAAAAAAAAGAATAACTTTACCAAGTGCCCAGGAGCTTCATCAGAAATGGCGCCGTGCCCTGACCATGCCCAACCCCACCGTGCCAGCACCGCCCCCCCACTAGTACTGCGTCTCCAATGTTGAACTCCACCGCCACCGCCACCACTCCAGCCCCAACTAAGCACACGCGTGCGATCTCCATCCTCGCAGGAAGCGCCGCTCGCTGGGGGAGCTGGCGAGGGGAGCGCCCCCAGAGGCGCTGGACCTGTTGTCACGTCTCCTCGTCTTCAACCCCGAGCGGAGGCTGACGGCGGCCGAGGCGCTCGCGCACCCCTACGTGTGCCGGTAACGAGCACCGTGCGGAGTGGGGGGGGAGGGGGGGGGAGCCACTCTGTTAGAACGTCGAGGGGGAAATCTCTTCGGTCGGCGTGCGGCCACTGCGGTCACCACCTTGAACAGAACGGTGGGAGCACAGAACGTGGACTCGACGGCCCGATTCATAAATACGTACCAATTCTGGCATGTTGCAAGCATGTTGCTTGTATAGCACTGGGATGTTGCTGGTATGACACTGGCGTGTTGCGAGCATGCTGCTGGTAAGACACTGGCATTTTGGGAGCGTGTTGCTCGTGTCTATATGTACTGTGTATGTGCTAATCGGAGGTTCTCGTGTGTTGCTGGTGTATTGTTGTGTTTGCTGGTATGACACTGCTGGTGCGTTGCTCACTTAACCCTCTTGTGCTGCCTCTCCCACCACCCCGCACATCCAACCCCTCCTCCCCGCCCCCCAACCCCTCCTCCCCACCACCCACTGCCCCCCCCCCCCCAACCTCGCCCTCCACTCCAGGTTCCACGACCCCCCCACGGAGCCGTCCCTCAATTACGACGTGGTCCCTCCCGTCGACGACAACACCCAGCTCTCCGTCAACGAATACCGAAGCCACCTGTACGAGGTGAGCCAGCGCCCGTGTTTGCATGCGTGTGTGCGCGTGCATGTGTGCGGAGCGGAAGCGCAGCGGTTAGCACACTGGCAACCCGAGTTCGATTCCCGCTCATGACCAAAAAAACAGTGGCGACTATTTGAACCGGTCCGAGGCCTTCATCCAGGTAGACTCGCCAACAGCGCTTGTCCCGACAGTCTACGTAGGCTATGTGGGAGACCTTTATAATTGTGTTTGTGCATATTGTGTGTGTGTGCGACTGCCTTCCCCCACAGCTGATCCTGGAGAGGAAGGGCAGCATCAAGCACCTCCGCCGGGGTGACGCAAGGGACGGCAAGGACCCCCTGCAGTCATTGTGCAGTGACCCCATAGAGGTGACCTGCCCCTCGTCCACCGCGGAGTTCCACAGGGAGTCCCCCCACGGGTCGCCTGTCGCCTCCTCCACCAAGCTGCTCAAGGCAGGCGGCGGCCAGGGCAGCCCCGTCGCCGCGCACGGGAGCCCCTCCCAGAAGCCCCTGTGGCACGGTGAGCAAAAAAATAAATCGAATATGTAAATTGTGAGGAAAACCCCAATCGCAATTGAATCGTAGCACAGGCCCGAAAACCGTCAGTGTCAAACGAGATGCTAAAATGTTGGCCTTCGCCCTGGTTCAAGTTTTCAAGTTTCATTTATTAGGCATAGCCCTGTGAGCCATGCGGCTCTTAAGTCGGGTGCAACCGCAACAAACAAAATTTGAACACAGAACATCTTAAAGCGGCAATGGTGACTATACCGTACTGATGAGTCCTAACTATGACGACACTGGTCTATCACAGTTTGTCTATCGCTGCATCACTTCTGCTGCTGCTGCTGTCAGTCGATCACATTTGGTCACCGATTATTTTGAAGGTGACCTAAGATGAGAGGAACCACAATGCAGTTCTGCTGGAATTGCTGATGGTGTTGTTGCACAATGCACAAATGAGCATGTGGGCTTTTTCCACGTTTTTGAATCTTGTTTGAAATTTAGCGAGAGCATATCAATGCAGTTTTTTTTAAAACACAGATGAAAAAGTGACATTTTAAGGTTTTATTAAATTTCAGCTCTTTCTGCCGTCATCACATTTAATCTGATTTCCTTTAATTTCTCGGTGGTTTTTGTTGTTGTACAGATATATTAAGATCGTTGTAACGTGTCTTACCTTTCATTTGATCTTATTGTAAAGTCTTGAGATATGGTTGCCTTTAGATGGTATATAAATGTAACTTGTATTGTTTACATTTTGATTTAAAGCTTTCGTTACTGCAGGGATTCATATTCTTGGTTCTTTCGGTAAAGTCACGTAGAAGGGAAACAATAAAATAATAAAAATATAAAACAATACAATTCTCACGACGTTTCGACTGCAACACAAGCAATCATCATCAGATGTGAAAACCACAGCAAGAAAATTTGAAAAAAGTGGCGGGTTTTTTAACGTTAGCACCACGGAGAGCGATTTGGCAGTTTATTCAGATGGACGAGTCCATCTATGTTGTTGTTGACGCGTGTACAAGTATGAGTCCTGGTTGGGGGTTGCGGGCCTTTGTTGTCATTGTTCATATCATCATCGTCATTATCTTTGTCATCACCATCAGCAGCAGTACTATCATCATCGTCATAATTATTGTAATCATCAATATCATAATCATCATCACAACCATCGTCAGCCCTACTCAACATGAGGTGTGTAAACATTGCCACTTGGGGACAAAGTTGGCCGGGCGTGGTGCTGGCCACCCACTCCTTCCTGCGCTGTACGTATGTACGTTGAACGTCTTTCGCACATTATGTAGCCAACCGTGATGCTCGAAGTTGCTGTGCCAGCATTCGCAAGGTGCTGGCTACCAGCACTTGCCCCAACAGTCTGTCAAAGGCTATACGGGGGATCTGTGTCTTTGTGTTGCATGAGCAGGTCCAGATGCGCTGAGCTGCGTGCAGTTGAACCAGCAGCTCCCTGTGACCTCCGACCCCTCATTCCGGCCGCCCCTCACCCGCTCGCTGGAGGTCAGCTTATTATCATTGTCGATGCTAGCGGCGTGCCGTCTAGACGCCCTGCACGGCAATCACACGTAGCCGAAAACAAACACCATGAAGTGAAAAATATAACTTAACTTATGTCCTAGACTTTTTCCCGTCCAAGTACGGGTGCATTGCAGTAAATCTGAAACTTGCAAGCGAAAATCAGACCGTGACGTGATATTCATTGCATCCATTCGCGTGCAATTTGTAAGGGCGCGGTGACGCAGGCCTATTTCTTCTAAGGTTATAATCCCCTTGTTCATCACGACGTCCTTTTTACTTTGATGTCTCAACAGCGTCACGGAGATCGTGTGACGTGAGGGTTTTGCCTTTGTAGTGAGGGTTGTGATTTGACGACGAGGAGGGGGGAGGAGACGCCTCGGCCCCCCATGTGGAGTGACGTCAGCAGCTAATTATTATTAAATGGAGGGGGGTGTCCATTTGGAGACGTCACCTCTTCATGAGTATTGATGAGGGGGGCTGTTCGATGTGGAGTGACGTAACCTGCTCATGATTACTAATGCGGGGGGTTCTCCATGCGGAGTGACATCACGCGCTCATGATTATTAATGAGGAGGGGGGGGGGTCCATGTGGAGGACGTCACCTGTTCATGATTATTAATGAGGGGGGCTGGTCGACGTGGAGTGACGTCACGCGCGGGACACACAGACATGCTTGGCTCATTACATATATGTATGTTGAACTTATTTCCCACGGTACGTAGCCAACCATGCTAATCGGAGGTGTGAGGGAAGGACAGCGAACTACAAAACACAAAGCAGTTCTAAAGAAATGAGTTTTCAATATTTGAGAGTTTAGTTTTTTAGTTTGTTGTAGCTTGTTTTAGTTTGTTTAGTCATTGATGACCGGGCTGAGACCATCGACTCACGGACACTTGATAATTTCACGTTAATCATGGGTGGCTGACACGTGAACTTGATCCCAGGATTTTAGTGGTGTCTGAAACAGAGCCACTATGAACGCCTTGTTAACGAGAGAGACCCTGAACCGTACGGACCTGAACAAAAGATCTCACCTCGTCATATCAACAGAGCCATTATAATAAACCTCTTGATAGAGAGCAAGGGAGAGATGGACAACCAGGTCCAGGGATCCAACCCAGACGCTCAGTGATGTCAGCCCCCCCCCCCGCGCCTCCCCCCCCACCCACCCCTGCCCCCCTCACCCGACACAGCAGTAGACATCGGTTACACTGCAGTCGATTGGCAGGTCGCGTTTGGTGGGGTAAAGTGTGGATATCTCGCACTTCTTCCGAGACCGTTTTTGTTTTTCATTTTCACAGCTATCCCATCCTATGTCAGTAATTGTGACCATGTCAGCACTTTTAAATCCAACTTGAAACCCGATTGTGCTATTCATTGGCTCTTCCCGCAGTCTGACTGTGGAATTATTGTAATTAATCATTTTTAATCATAATTATTGTTGACTATTATTGTCTTCGATCGTACTCTGTCTTTCATTCTATTCACAGTGCGAGTGTGGCGTGTGAATAATTATAATGATTAATAATCATTGATTACTATTGACCATTGTCTTCTATTGTAGTTTGCAAGTGCATTTCCATCGGATTGTATCTACACTCGTGAACGCAGTTTCTTTGACATTTGTATAATCTTATCGTAGGGCGCTCCGAGATGTTTTCATTTGAAAATAAAGATGGTGATTATAATTACTTTGATTATAATTGTAATAATAGTTATAGGGAACTGAAACTGAACCCGTGCGTGACCATCGCAGGCAAGGGGCATGAGCACTTTTGCCCCGGCGGTGGCCAAGGCGTCGTCGCTGTCATCAACGACGGAGGAAGACGAGGAGGATCTGGAGGAGCTGGACGACGAAGAGGTGGACGGTGACGATGATGATGACGACGACGAGGAAGAGGTGGTGGTGGTGACGAGGGCTTTGTCCGGGCGCCGGGGGGAGAATCGTGGGGCGAGTACGGCGCTTCAGGCGCGCGAGCGCTCACCGACGCAGCACTCTTAGTGGGGGGGGGGGGTGTGTGTGTGGGCGACGTGGACACGTGCACGTACACACGCACGCTAACGCACACACGCATTCACTGCCAAGCTTAGCCACACACAAACTCAAGCCGCTTGCTCGCTCACTCAGCGACTTACTCGCTCATTCATCTGCCCTCTCGCTCACTCACTCGCATGTCCACTTGCTCGCTCACTCACGCACTCGCTCCCTCATTCACCCACCCACCCACTCACTGGCTCACCCATATAGCCACTTGCCCAGCTACTCACACACTCGCTCCCTCCTTCACCTACCCACTCATTCACTCGCTCAATCACCCACCCACATGCTCACTCACTCAATCATAGGACCACTTCCTTAGCCACTCTCTCACTTTGGTACCCATCCACTGATCCACGATCTCATTCCTTCACTCAATTACTCACTTAACTACTCACCCACGTACTCTCCCTCTCATTCGCTCACCCATGCAATCACACACTTACCCACTCACTCACGCACATGCACTTTCGCTCACTCACTCGCTGACCTGACATACTCACTTATCCACTCTGTCACTCGCCTAAAACACCCACACACTCACCCTCACACTCACAGACCCAATCACACTCACACTCACGCACCCAATCACCCACACACTCACAGACTCAATCACCCACACACTCACAGACCCAATCACCCACACACTCACAGACCCAATCACTCACACACTCACAGACCCAATCACCCTCACACTCACAGACCCAATCACCCACACACTCACAGACCCAATCACCCACACACTCACAGACCCAATCACCCACACACTCACAGACGCAATCATCCACACACTCACAGACCCAACCACCCTCACACTCACAGACCCAATCACCCACACACTCACAGACCCAATCACCCACACACTCACAGACCCAATCACCCACACACTCACAGACCCAATCACACTCACAGACCCAATCACCCTCACACTCACAGACCCAATCACCCACACACTCACAGACCCAATCACCCACACACTCACAGACCCAATCACCCACACACTCACATACCCAATCACCCTCACACTCACAGACCCAATCACCCACACACTCACACACCCAATCACCCTCACACTCACAGACCCAATCACACTCACACTCACAGACCCAATCACCCTCACACTCACAGGCCCAATCACACTCACACTCACAGACCCAATCACCCACACACTCACGGACCCAATCACACTCACAGACCCAATCACCCACACACTCACAGACCCAATCACCCACACACTCACAGACCCAATCACACTCACAGACCCAATCACCCTCACACTCACAGACCCAATCACCCACACACTCACAGACCCAATCACACTCACAATCACAGACCCAATCACCCACACACTCACAGACCCAATTACCCACACACTCACAGACCCAATCACACTCACAGACCCAATCACACTCACAGACCCAATCACCCACACACTCACAGACCCAATCACACTCACAGACCCAATCACACTCACAGACCCAATCACCCACACACTCACAGACCCAATCACCCTCACACTCACAGACCCAATCACCCACACACTCACAGACCCAATCACCCACACACTCACAGACGCAATCACCCACACACTCACAGACCCAATCACCCACACACTCACAGACCCAATCACCCACACACTCACAGACCCACACACCCTCACACTCACAGACCCAATCGACCACACTCGCTCGTATCGCTCCGCTCAACCACTCCAGTAATTTTTTAAATTATTTTCCACTGTTATCGTTATTGTATAAACTCTAAAACTAGCCAAAGCACTTATTATTATTTTTCCAAAAATTGCGATCCAAGTAAAATTGTCTTGGATGTTTTTTTTTCCTGTCACGTTAAAAAGATCGTTACATTTTGTTATTTAAAACAAACTATATATTCTCTGTGTATATATATACAATTGCAATAACTTGGTGTTCATGTTTTCTGGGAGAAGCGAAGCCTTCTGCCCACCACACGCACTAAATCGCGACTCTTGCTGCTGAGGCGGCTCAGATTTCATCATCGTCGTCGTCGCAAAATTCTCATCGTCGTTAATCATCGTCAGTTCACGCAGACGACCTTCACGCAGACGACCTTCACCGCCGAATTATCCCTGCCGCGGTTGTGGACGAAGAGTGGTGGTGGAATGGTGGTGGTGGTGGTGGCTGCGGCTCAGCAACCGTACCGCCGCTATGAACCCGCTGACCCATAGTCCCGATTTTGCCTGTCGCATGACTATCAGTGGCCGCTGGCAACGTGAACCGGTCCTGGGCCTACCCTCCACCGCAGCGCCCCCCCCCCCCCTGCCCCCCACAACTCACTTTGCAGCGTGCCGGCGTGGTGAAGTATGGTCAAACAACCCCCAGTGATGACCACCAATGAACGGGGAAGCTTTCGTTCAGCAGTGGATCGATAAAGGGAATGCAAATGATATTATTAAAAAAAAAACATTTACACATTCATCATTAATACTGTGTGTGTGTGGCCTTAAGAAGACAAACGTGTGTATATAAATAGGCGATGTTTTAGGCAATGGCCCTTGGCAGCAGATACAGAGGCCAGAGAGGTAGTAGGGTTACGGGTCACTCTGCATTGTTGGCCTATGTGCAGAGAAGGGTCGTTAAATGAAACATCACCTCTCATATACGTGTTCTTTTTTTAAAGGCCACACTGTTATTGAGAGTTGTGTTGTTAACTGTGCCTGTGCACCACTGCCAACGCAGCAGCAGCAGCAGCATCGCCAAACGAATCTGTTTAATTTTAAATTGTATTACTCTAGTTGGCTCCATGCAATTATTCGGGTGCTACTGGTGGCAATTAAATAAAAAAAACTCCCCATGGATCGAAACGAGCACGGACGGGCACCCATCCGTCACTGGCGGCCCAGAGCCAGCGGCGGTGGAAATTCCACATTCCCATGGCGAGTAGTAGCCTATTCACAAAGTGGCCACTGTTGATATCCAGATCGGAGGGTATGTTGACTCATCGATTGTAATCGAATCGCAATTAATAGATTCGTGCGTCGTTGAACACGATTGCTCTTCCCGTGAGACCCCCGCAACCATTAGAGGCGCTATGACATTCACTTCGGGTGATTGCCGCTGCTTCGGCAAATGGTGCATGAGCGCAGACTCGCACTTGTCAATAACAACACTGTGTGTGACCATAAGTTGAAGAAAGCAAATATAAGTGATATGCGACGATTCGGGTAATGGTACTTCTTGATGGCGCGTGGAGACGTAAAAACCAAACTGTGCTGGAACCGCATGGAATAGCAACCCCGAATTGTGGACCGTGGTCGCTAAATCCCTTCGTGCCCGTTTCCTCCAAAGTGGTAATAATTTTAGCGGCCTCCACAATAATGAGATGATGATGATGGTGGTGATGATGATGATCTGAATCGGCCCTCAAGTGGGATTTGAACTCACGGCTTCCCGACCGCAGGTCAAGGGGCCCTCTTGACTATAACGATTCTCTGGCCGTAACGAAGATCTCCCCTAGTCTACTGCTAAGTAACAACAATCGTATTTAAATACAGTAATACCCCCGGTTTACGTCGGGAGACGCGTTCCTGAAAGGTCCGACGACGTATATCGAAACGACGCAAATCAAAGCGATTTACGGGGCCGATTGGTGGAGGCGAAGACTGAGAAGTGTGGGGTTGAGGCGACGAAAATCAGGTAGTGAGTGGCGTTAATAGAGTGACGACGTATTTGCGAAACGACGTCAAAGGAGGAGACGTAAATCGGGGTGCTACTGTGCCACATTTTCTGGTGATGATACTGCGTTGGCAGTGGCGCACAATCAACAAGTGCTGTAAGTAAGAGCCATTGCCTACTATGTATTTTTTTCCTTCTCTTTTAAGGCCACACACAGACACAGAGTATTATTGATGAATGTTGTTGGTTTTTGTGTTATTCAAACGACGAAACTTTAGTTAGAACATCTTGAAATTTCGGGACAGCCCCCCCCCAATGCTGCCCCCCCCACCGGGAATGGTTTCTCGATCCGCCACCTGCGTTTGGAACATTCTGAGTTGCATTTCCCAGCATTGTCGCCATCATTAATGAACAGATTCGCAAAGATCCCGCGTATAGCATGTTACAGGTTGTTGGGGCAAGTGCTGTTAGCGAGCAGCACCTATGGAGGCCGGCCCCGGCACACGAAGTCGTGGGTGGACCAGCACCACGCCCGACCGCCTTTGTCTCCCTAGTGGCGATGTTTACATAATGGTAGCAGGTACTCATTTGAGGCCGAGTCGACCTAGGGGAGGCCCAGGACCGGTTCACACGCACACTGCCTGGTTGGCTTACCACGTGGATCAGTACTGTACGTACCACTGCCTGGGTTACCATGGTGATGCGTTGGTTACCATGGCGACGCGTTGGTCACCGTGGTGATGCGTTCGTTACCATAGCGACACGTTGATCACCGTGGTGATGCGTTCGTTACCATGGCGACGCGTTGGTCACCGTGGTGATGCGTTCGTTACCATGGCGACGCGTTGGTCACCGTGGTGATGCGTTCGTTACCATGGCGACGCGTTGGTCACCGTGGTGATGCGTTCGTTACCATGGCGACGCGTTGGTCACCGTGGCGATGCGTTCGTTACCATGGCGACGCGTTGGTCACCGTGGTGATGCGTTCGTTACCATGGCGACGCGTTGGTCACCGTGGTGATGCGTTGGTTAAACAGCCGTGTTGAATGGTCACGTTTTGGCAGATTGACTGTACAGTATTCAGAGGCGAACAGAGGCAGAAAGAAGATTCGCTGTGGAGTTGGAAGACGTGCGAGTGTGTGTGTGATGATAACTCTTTACGCCCTGCACACGTGCACGTGAACCTTGCTTCGAGTTGCCGAACAAATGTCTGCGTATGGACACAAAGATGAGAATTGTTCGTGAGAGTTTAAGTTTGACTGCTGTATAGTGTCTGTAGCCTTGACGCTACAACCAATCGGATGTGATTAACGCTAGCCCCAACACAAGCACTGGCTCCAACTACTAGCCATGACTATAGCACTGCCCCTGACACTCTCTAACACACTAACACTAGACCTGACACTAACTGTTAACACAAACTAGCCCTAACCCCAACACGAGCACTTAGCACTGCCACTAGCCCTGACACACTAACACTAGCCTCAAACACCCTTAACATAATGCCTAACTTCAACCCTAACAAATGTAGTCTAACACTAACACTAGCCCCAACACCAGCCCTAACAAATGTAGTCTAACACTAACACAATACCTAACAACCAGCCCTAACAAATGTAGTCTAACACTAACACTAGCCATAACACCAGCCCTAATAAATGTAGTCTAACACTAACACTAGCCCCAACATCAGCCCTAACAAATGTAGTCTAACACTAACACTAGCCCCAACACCATGCAATAACACTACGAATTAGAACACTATCTCTTAAAACTAGAACTTTATCATTAGCCCTACCACTAAATACATTTGTCTAAAAATACACATTG